TGAGACTGCTGTCAGTAGGAAAGAGAGATTTTTGCCTACCACGAAGTGGAGGATTCTGTTACGGAAGATCGCACCACAAGTTGCGTTCTGTATTCGAAGAGATTACTGCTTGAATGGTGGTACGTTCGCAAGTGATTACAATGCAAACTGTCGAAGCAGAGCATCACAGGTGAACACTCTTCATCAGGCCGTAGTCCGTTTTTACGAAGACTTCGTGGAAGTCAAATGAATCGACCGTACCAGGAAGCTGGTCGTCATCGGTAGGAAGGATATTTAGAGCATATCATTGCTGGTAGTGTCATATACCATACTCTAACTTCATAGCATAGAAATTTCAGCGCCATGTACAACGGAGGTAATCAAGGTGAATTCACAGGACTTCTTCCTCGAATGTCGAAACAATTCCAGATTTGGTTAATTAAAGGAATTTAAGTTTCGCTTATAAATTGGGAGATTGTCTATAGATCTACAACTCATATTTACCGAAAATCTGATAGGTGAATAGTATATCAACGGCTCGCCAGGGGGTTGGAACATCAGACAGATGTAATCCCACTGTTGCTGCATACTAATCAAAGGCTTCATCGGTTGTTGCGTACATATATAAAAAGGGAGGGAGAGGAAATGCGGGGAAGAGCAATTATGCAAAGATCGATAGAAGGGAATGCTTATTGTACCGCAGCTTCAGTGGGTTAAAGTGCTGGTGGGAATGGCGAATGACGTCTGGCGGTGGTCGTGATGTATACCTGTTTTACACGACACACGAAGTCTGATGGCACACAAACCATAGCGACCCAGTTCAACGGCAGCTCAGAGAGATGCTGCCACACAAACCATAGCGACCCAGTTCAACGGGATTACTTTAGCTCTTCTACTAAAGATAACATTAACGGCAGCTCAGAGAGATGCTGTCTTATAAATTGGGAGATTGTCTATAGATCTACAACTCATATTTACCGAAAATCTGATAGGTGAATAGTATATCAACGGCTCGCCAGGGGGTTGGAACATCAGACAGATGTAATCCCACTGTTGCTGCATACTAATCAAAGGCTTCATCGGTTGTTGCGTACATATATAAAAAGGGAGGGAGAGGAAATGCGGGGAAGAGCAATTATGCAAAGATCGATAGAAGGGAATGCTTATTGTACCGCAGCTTCAGTGGGTTAAAGTGCTGGTGGGAATGGCGAATGACGTCTGGCGGTGGTCGTGATGTATACCTGTTTTACACGACACACGAAGTCTGATGGCACACAAACCATAGCGACCCAGTTCAACGGCAGCTCAGAGAGATGCTGCGCCGCGAGATCCTCTGGTACGCAAACGAGAAGTTACTTCATGCTGTCACCACGTAAGTGTGAGGGTTGGATACCTATCATTTTGCCTGTCTATACGCATCCTATTTAAGACGTTGAAGTCAATAATCACGAAAGGAACAACAGCGAAGTAATGAAACGTCACGCTTAGAGCACATAGCACAATTGGTCCATAGGGTATGAGCTACTACTGAAAGCTTCCCGAACGGTCGACAAGAGGGACAAGTAGAAGGCATTGAACCAGAAACCGCGGGACTGTAGCTTGGCCGGGTACACAAGTCTATTAGGAACAACTTCGATGTGCACGGAGAAAATCTAGTAGTATGCGGATTCCTAACGATCGTACAAGAACTAGACACATGTTAGTACGATCTGAGAACGAGTCAGTGAAGGAAAGCAATATAAATTGCTGCGTGGAAGATCCAACGGTTGTAGTGACCCTCCTGCGGCTTCCAAGTCAGATACATATCATTATAGACGCAGTAGTTGCCGAATGCTCAGTTCCAGTCACAACTCATACACACTCAAGCCTATGCAGTCGAATCGCCAGGCCCAAAGCATGCAAGAACACACCGGGAGAGGGAGGTTTGGAGCAAGATATACGAACGGGACATTTGGTGTGAACTACGGTACTTTGGTCGTACCAGCATGCCCTGTAATAAATCCACCTTAGATATAACCGTATTGCGATGGATAACTTATTATTCTGCAAACAAACCGAATCAGATTGAACGTCAACGAACTCCGTTACATATTAATGAGCGCCATATTTATAATCCTTGTCTGTTTTCGTCTGATTAATCGTATCCCAATATACAGCATTGTGTAGAAATCCTGAAGAACAAAATATCAAGGGCTGTGGTACGGACTTTGAGCGACCTTCAGGCAGCAGAAATCGCAATGACCTGACAAATCAATCGCAATCCTGATTGAACATATCGGAGGTACTCGAGTTATGAAACTCAGCAAGTTATTCTGGGAAAAACAAAGTCGGTCTCTTTGCAGACGGGTTAGTTAGAGAGCTTGTCAACAAAATACTTTCAGAATTACGGCATCGGCACCAATACAGTTAGTACGGTGCAATGAAACGCTTACTCATCTCTGCCAGAATGACCGCAGAAGCTGGTGGGCCAGGCCAATCATACCGTTCTATTGGTGGGGGAACGTTGGGATCCGGCTTGTGGCCCGACGGAAAGCAAGCTAAACGCCGAGCTTCGACAGTCATTTCCTCCTCCAAATTTTCCTGCGTTCCGTTCATACGACTGTGATTATCATGGCCATTTGGAAGTGTATGCTCGCTCGGTGGCTGTCGCCTGAGCTCCACGGCAGAGCTGGCCATTTTCGGAGCTTCCGATCGTATTGCAGGCGGTGGTATTTGGGTCCGAAGCGCTCCAACGTGTGAAGCTGTTTGAGTCTTAGTGGGTTGACCGAACAGTAAGGAGTAGGTTCGGGTTCCTGGAGGGAGAAATCGGCTTTTCGCTGGGGATAGAGGAGGGCACAACGAGATTCACATGATACCTAGTGAGAAGGGTATTTTGTTGGTGGGCACAAGCTAAATTAGCTGAGAGCAAACGACGTTGACCCGGCGAACGTAGGAGAATGTAGTACTAGCCCAAACAGGAAACAATTCGGAGAGACATGACTAACCATCTAAAGGATCGAAACGAAGATTTCATCACGCCATAAACGAGAGTTGTGCTTCGTCGCGAAAAACTGAATAGAACGTTCACTCGATCTACGGGTAAACACCATAATTCACATGGAAGTGCACTAGAAGTGAGAACCTCCAGCAATACATTCAAGCTGAAAATTACGTACCGTCCATTTTGAGAAAATAAAGGTGTAAGTGGTAACTGAGTAACCCTAGGAACAGATAGCTGGATTGACAAGAAAACTACCCAGAAGGTCTGTGCGTTCGTAGACCGTGTGTGTCAAATCAGGATCGATTTTCACTTAGTTTCATTGGTGACTAGTGGTCAAACTGAAACACCAGCTTACGGCGTCGGCATGGGAACGTGTAGTGAATTTAAACAACTGTTTTTCAGGACACCATGCCGCCTGAAACTTCGGATGGATGTCCGAAAGTGCAGAGGTCTAGCATAAACCATGAAATTGATTTCGTTACGTAATAAATATACGGAAATGTGCTGTTGTCCAAAAGTAACTGAAAAAGTCGGCAATGCGAACACTTCGGTTGGTTGCGTGGAATAGGATGCAGTAGCGATGGGTTGGTGGAATGTCGAGATTCATTTATGTGACATTGTAACGGGAAAATGGAACTGCCTACATTCGGGTGTTTATGCAGGCAAGATGAACAATTGAAAGGAAAGATAAGACGGTATATTGGTTTCAAACGTGAGCTACAAAGCCTCTGTTTACAATTCAATAGAGTTGAAAAGACGGGGCACGTAGAATAACTTGTATGCGTTGACTTAAGACACCGTAAGCATTGGTGTAGGAGTTTGTATGGAGAGTTATACGGAAGTTTGTATGCTGTTGCTATTAGCTCGGAACAGCTCAAAATTCAACATGGGGGTTGCGGATCTAAAAGCTCTCGGTTCGAATTCATCACACCTGTTTCCAGTGCTCCTATCCAGACGTGAAAAATTTGTCTTAATGAAGCTACTTCCTTCGGGCCGATGGCACGTATTCACAGAGATAGCTGAACACTGAGTGTGTTACTCTTGGAATTCAGCAGATTGGCAACTGGAACACATCCTACGCGGTGTAAATCGCCACCGGTGTAAGTCACGCCTAGTGACCAATTTTAGCACTATTTTGACCGTTCCCAAGCAGAAGCACAAACGCCCTGCAAGTTGGGCAGCAGGTTAAATTCGCTTTTCATCGCCATTCGTTTTTTGTCATAGTAGCCGAATGCTGCAGCAAAGTGAAGACGATGGTGATCCTTCTTCTGAACAGTAGCTCAAACAGAACAAAAGGCATGATGATGATAGGGTAGAAGAAGCCCTGCAACCATTTGATTTCAGGGAGGGTGACCTAGGACGAAAGCTAAAATAGGAAGATGAATATATACTGACGATGATGATGAAGAAACTGAAGCACGGGAGGAGAATGAAGAAGATTAGGATTCCCGGGATGATGGCGATGTAATGGTTATTCGAGATCCATAGAGACATTCTAACCCTTACACTCCATTTTTATCGTAAAAACAAGCAAACTGCAACTGTCTCGGGTATCATCAGATTAACGGCCACAAAAGACTTGACATTCACTAGCATCGGCTCAGCTATCAGGTTTTTGGTAGTTTGGGGAGATGGCGTCAAAGCAATTCTCATAGAGTGGGTGAAACAGAAAATTTTGACCGAGACCTTCATTGTCTACCCTTTAAAAGGAAAAAAAAGTGACTTGTCGGAAGTTCCCGGAAATCCAGTGAGATAGAAAAATAAATCAAACGATCGTCTTGTGATAAGGCTGGTCAAACTGTTCGCTCTGGTTCCAAACCATTGTTTCACCTCTATTTGTTACCGCTCATGATATAAAATTGATAAGTTTTGGTTTTGCGACTCAACAGATAAAAGCAAAACGTCGACATTCCGCAGTCTTTGTCTTTTTACTGCATTATCCAATTATTTACTCGTTGCGTGCTGCGCTACACTGAAAAAGAACGACAGTTGTTGCAGAGACTGCTAAAAGGCTATGACAACGACCATGTCGTTAACATGGCCATCCAATATAGTCCGATGAGTGCTAAAGGCTTTAAATCCACTCTCGAACACTACCTCCGGTGAAGAACGTATGAAAGATACAGTTCACTAGTGGGTCTGCTCGCTAGGTTGCACCGCTGCACTCTAACTAATATGTATCACGTTTGGCATTGTTTTAAGAAAGCCCATGTCGAGGTCTACGATAGCAACACTAAGGGAGATATGAAAACTTTGGTCGGTAGCCTTGTAGCCTGAGGACGAACGGGATCCCGTTCACTGGACTGTACCCACAAACTAGCCTTCCCCAACCAGTTCCTCCTTCAGAGTACCAAAGACCGCATTGTACGAGTACAACCCAACAACTTTTTTCGCGACTCGCTCCCATGATTTCGTTACCTAAAAAATGAAGAGCACTGTGAAGTGCAGCAGTCTATAAGGAGCTATGCTGGCTAGAGAGATATCGAAAGATCCTATAGGCCCATTAATCACCTACCGGATCTGAACACTAGCCTATGGAAGCAGAATGAACACGAAGGTGCCATTCAACAAACACTTCGTGAAAGAAATCTGCGCTGATGAGCTCCTGATGGCCAGTTTGCTTTTTCCCTATTTTAACTATCAGCTGGGCTTTTTATAGACAAAATGTTTTCTGCAAACTATACGATGAGCAGATATTTTGTACAATGCAGTCATGATAATGTTAATGTAACAGCGAGACGAATTCGGAAAAACTGAACACATTTCGGGAAACGAAGTCGTATAGATTACTGTCATACCGCTGTTCAATACGTAAAAGGTGAACTGTACCGTATTAGGGCAGGAAAACAAACCTGCGCCAGACCAGCTAAGAATGAAATCATCCGATCGCCTTTATTTGCGAATATTGATCAGATCAGATCTGAATGGATGAAACGTGGGTATCCACCACTTCACCTTTTTTCCAGGGACGGAGCGTTATGCATGAGCCTATCAACCATCAACCAAAAATTAGGCTAAGATTGTTCTGATTTAAGTTACCACAATAAGTCGAGAGAATATGTGAGAGAATTATGACATTCCAGGGCCCTAGGCCTGATACCCAATGTACTGATGCTTACTACTGCTATTTGTTTGACATACAAATGAAACATCACATTAGTATCGCCACTAGTACTGACATCAGCACCAGGGTGAGAACACTAACACACAAATGTCAATAATAATGATCCATAAAGAATGGAATAATCAACCGAGAAACGGAACCAGTGCTAGTCTAACACAACCACCAAAGGTGCACAAACCTCGTTTTTCCTAAGGATAGCGGATTTCTTTGTACTTAGTCCATATCCTTCCCCCGTACTAAGGCTTTCCTTCGTCTGTCCAAAATGATGACGATGATGATGACATCCCCAAACACTGAGCTGGCAGGAACTGACTACAGAGACGCTACTGTAGCGGCCATATCTTGTAACACTGACGAAGAACATCTTACCAACCGCATTCGAACGGCCTGACGGAACTCATTAACTGAACCGTAGAAGAAAGGCTGCTGGTGAACAGGGATGACTGAGGAATGATTCGACATTGTTCCCTAAACGTATTTATAGCCCAGATTTCGAATACAGTTCAAACGGTAATATTACTAAGACCGAAAACATGGGTGCGGGCAGTACCTTCTTCCGAACTGACGAATAATACTGTATTCAGTTTACCACACTCTGCATGCCGCACATATCTTTGATAGCTTCCGGTCGAAATGCACAAGAACTGACGTTTACGACCTGTCTGGATTTCAACTGGTTGGAGGACTCCTAAGAAACTCTAAGAGACAATTGTTTAGGGCTAAAAATTGAAAAAGAGCGATACAAACAGTTCGGCCAAGAAATAGATTTAGCCAAGTTAGCAATAATTTTGAGTTAACACCAGGATTATTAGCACATATAATGGCGAGCCATATTTATGTCCACCAAATTGGAAGTACCTTTACGAATGAACCATCATCATCATCATTAAAGACAGCAACATCAGTGTTGACACTGATGCTCCACCGCTGTACAACCATAAGGTTCGCCTGATTATTTAGAGCCCTAAGAGTGAAAAGAAGAGAAAAAGAGTGGGGAGGGAGGTAACCTAGCGCTGGCCTATGTCAAGCATTCTGACATGCCTACACCTCTAAGCGCTCAATCAGACATTCTGGAAAGTAACTGACAGCACGAACGCCACTGACATTGATTGGCCGCCATTTTTTACAGTGCATCCAGCCAACCAGTGGTGGGATCAGAGGGAACCCAGCCAGGAAGGCGTACAACATCAACAATACCCAAACTTTTCGTAGCCTCTTTCAGACCATTCTGCCAAGTCATACGTTGTTCACCTCGAGGTTTGCGCCATTCTGAAGGAAGCACGGAGAGCACGTGTCTTGGTAGACAGTGCTGTAACATGCGTAGCACATGGCCGAGTCATCGTGGTTGGTGGTGCTGGATGTTTTCCCCGATTGAAGTACCTGCCGCACAACCAAATGCCGGTTTTCTAATCATCTTGTTACTAAAACGCTGACGCCAATCAAAACCAGCCACGTTCCTGAGATATCGGTCGTCAAAAACCTGAGGATGTCTCACATAATCTGTCCGCAGAGGCCACGTCTCACACCCATACAACAACACATCCCTTACTGCCCCCTGATACACGCAACCCTAGTGATGTGATGGTCTAGTGATGTGCCTTTTTGACACCAATGAATATTCTACAATAAAACGTGAAGCTACCTCACTCGGGTGACCACTAAAACAAAATACCGGAGCCGTTGAATAGGTAAGAAGTGAGATTGTGGAGTAC